TGCAGCATTTTACTTTGTGAATGCCGGTGTCTATGAAAGTGGATGATAAAATATGTTTTTGCATTTAAAGAAGGCTACCACTAGGGGGAACAAGTAGTGCAAGGCTAGTAGTTTTCTCAAATTCTCTTCATCCAACTATTTTAGGTGCTATGTCTTCTTTTTTTATGAGATCCTGGAATGCAAAAGATGTGTGAAAGAACGGAGTGGGCCTTTTTGTGTGCAGTTTCTTCCAACTTGAGCAATTTCAAATTTGGCTGGATCTACTAATTCAAATTAGTTCATCCAGCATGACCTTTCACTAAAGTCAGTATAGTGTTATGTAGGCAGAAGGGTCCTTAGTAGTAAATAGGTTTAAATAGAGAATAGATATTTTAATGTATGTATTGGATGAGATTATCACAAATTAAATAGCCAGCTCAGCCTACCCTTGGTCTAGCATCCATGGGTGAACTTTATAAAGCAAATAACAGCCTTTCTATGTATGTATGTATTTATACTTACTTATGAATATATACCTATTCACTTCATATATGCAATGTGAATCCAATCAAAACTTATCTCTGCAGTCCCACTAACCTACCTCTGCTGCCTTTTTCAGAAAAATGCCAAAACTTGAACACAGTGCAGAATTAGAACTGGTAGCGAAGGCCCTTGCATGGCTGTGACTGGGCTGCAACGTGTCAGTGGGCAGGAGGGGACATGCACTTGTGCTACCCATGGTGTAACTGGCTAGTGGATGCAGAGCCAACAGAGCTTGCTTGCTCTCTGCCCACTACTATTCTTAATGATGTCTTTTAAAAGACCAGCTTTAGAGAATTTAGTTTGTATTGTAAATGTACAAAATGAAAACGGGATAAATGGAATGTTTTAAACTCTTTCAGGCCTATATGCATATGTGCAACATACCTGTCTGCATGTGATTGCCCTTGCTGATGCAGCTACACAAGGGGGAAAGATGCTTTCCCTGTGTGTTGTTTCCAAGGTCTTGATGTGCTATAGTCACGTGACGTCAACAGTGAGATATGATGATGGCAAATTGCAGTCTGTTAGCCTAGTCCCACGTTGTTCCCTCCTCGAACTGACACCCTTGACTTCAATATAGCCCTGTGTTTGGCCAGAAACGGACATGCCCCAGGCTCAGAGTGAGATCAGATTTAAGAGAGGAAAATACTAGAGGTTATCAGGCAATTGTAAATTTGCATCCTTCCTTTCTTCATGGTGAGCAGTTACTCAGAGGTCTGGCTTTGACAAGCAAGTTTGTGGGCTGCAACACAACAGAAGCCAGAAGTTGTTGTTTGCTATTAACAGAGCTGTAATCAGTACATATTTGTGTTTTATTGATGTGGATACTAGATCTGGGTCATTGTCTTGTTTTGTACAATTTAGAATCGTTCCTGTTAGTATATCCCCAAACTTATTTATTTACATGTTTTTCTTCCCTAGCAGCCTGTCACCAATTAACTGGCCGTACAGTCTGGCCTCCCTTCTGCCCTCTTGTCCCTTGAAGCCACTTTATCGTGGATGCTCCTTTGTAGTGAAGATCTGAAATCTGGAACTGCACTTACTGCAGCACAGACCACCTCTCTGTGTACATCAGATGTACAGGATTGATTTTGCTTTCATATTCTGCATGCCTAAGTATTTCACATACAAAAGCTAGTCTTGACTGCCATTATATTTGAACATTATGCTTCAGTTTGACCTCATTATACATGAGCCATTATACTTCCATTCTGGATGATGTGTGAAGCTTTGCTTGTTTCAAATGAGAAAATTTCAGAGTAAATGAATACTTATCCATATTTGGTATTCTTTAATGAAAGTGGGAACCCCATGCATGCATCTAATGGTGGAGTCCATGGAGAAAGTTCCATGGAGGATCGTTTTAAAAATGTTGCCTTATCGTGGCTTTCTCACATTCATGAATGCTGGCTAAATTTTTTCGTGGTCTGCAGTTGGCCTACCGTCTGCTTTTTAGCTTGTGATTTTAGACACTCTCTTTTCTCCCTTATTGGCTTTCAGGAACGTAGGTGGCTTTGCTGCCAGTCCTCTGTTGTGCGCAGACAACTCAGCAAAGTCGGCTTTCCTGGACCATTCTTGGAATGGTGGCTTCTTGTACCAATACTTAGATGCTGCTAAACTTACTAATAATGATTTGATGTATATTATGTCTTATATGCCATAATGTGGTAATCGATATTTTCATTAACATGCA